TGATAAATCCAAAACATAAAGTATTAAACCTTCTAATTTATATAATGTCATCTCAGTAGAATGCCCTCTTTCTGAAAGTGCTACTGCTTCAGTTGTGTCCATTGGACAATCTTCAAATTTTTGTTCCACATTTTTAAGAGCCTATATAGCAAGAATCCTGATTGATTAAATGTTACTAAAAAAATATTTCATAATAATCTACAATTTCAATAATAATAAATTTCATAAACTACAATTTCTTACTTAACTTTTGGTCACATAGTATAATTGTTGGTATTGAAAAGTTTCACTAAACAATCAGCATAACTAATATTATTAATTTATCAATAATTTTATTATATATACATATATATATATATATATATATATATATATATATTACATTTTTTACGTTACAACTAACAATCAAAATATATTACAAAAACAGAGGGCTAATAGATTTGATTTTTGTCAAATATATATTACCTTTATAAGACACGGCACAGATTTTTCAAGATCATCGTTATACAATGGCTGCATACTGAATATGCTATGTAAGATTTTCTCTATAAGTTTGTCATTTTCTCTACCATATAATTGGCATAAATCAAATATAATAGGTACTGTAAATATGTAATTGTTATATAATAAATTTCCCAGATAAGAATGTTGCATGTGTTCTGTTAAACTTTCTTCGTTTGTGACAAGACGGATAAAGATCATAAGCACATTGTAATAAAGTTTCTCTAGTGCTTCAAGCATTTCTGGTATGGCAGGAAAAGTTTCTAATGCATAAAAGGGCGGGGCCTCTTGTAAAAAAGACACTAATGTATCTATGATTGAGGTATTGTATATAATATTAGACCAGAATCTATAAAGGAAAAGTAATTAGGAATATCTGAAATATTAATGTTATAAAAAACATATATATATATTACACTATTATAAAGAACACAAATATTATACCGATAAAATGGAAGCTTGAGCAGCCAGATTAAATCTTCAATAATATAATTGACAAGTTCTATCCAATATTCTTTATAACCCATAATTTCAGAACCATCTTCTTTATACAGTTCTGGTGCTTCATAACGTAAAAAATAACGCTTTTCTGCCCATTTTGCACTCTAAAATTGGATGTTCAACATATACATATATGAATATTTTAAACATAAAATATCTGAATCTATTTTTTTCAAAAATTATAAAATAATTAAATTGCAATTTATAATAAATCTTGACATGTACATAAATTTTTTTATTAAAAAAACTTCATGTACCAATGCTTCTACTACAAGAACCACTCCATCATTTTTAATATTTAATGTCAGATTTTCCAATGGCGTACACTTGGGATTCTGTTAAACAAAAGAAGGTGGATATCTTATATGTGTAATAAATTCAGAGGTTGCATCATATAAATCGGTTCATATTTTAATACTACATTAAATACTACATTATGAAAAGTCGATTACCTTGTAAAATTTCATGATATAATGCGTAAAATATTATTTGTCCTGAATAATTACGTTCAAAATAATTACGTTGTCTGTTGATCGTAACCTTCTTCTTTCTCTCTTTTTTTCCTTCCTTTCTTCAATAGATGGCCATAGAAGCCTGATAAATATCTATGCACAAACTGATAAATCACAGACGAGATAAGAACAGAGAATAACGATAAGCGATAGATTTTCAACTTATCGGAAACCGTGTATCAATACTAAGCATTTGATCTGTTCTTTTTAGCTGAACTTAAACCAGCGGCACACGATGCTTGTTTTCGTGTTGGATTGTTTGCTGGAAATACTGCGTTTCGATTGGTGTATTGTCATCCATTTTTGAAAATGCACTAATCAAAACGCAGTTTATCTATCCGGCATGAAAACAACTAACATGGGTCGTTAGTTTTATTGGAACTCCTTTCAGGGTTCCATTTACAGGATGTATACCATCGCAACCTTACCAGCCAATTGACCCCCTAGGGATCTTGATTGACTCGTTTTCTTATGCATCACGCATTATGTGTTATGCCGAAGCATGTGTTCCCCGCTTAACTGTAGGTTGCATTCCGCACTGTGCATACTACTAGCCGTTCGAAAATAGTGTGGTTCATTCGTGTGCATCGTACGGAAATCCTCCGAGAGACACACCGTGTGCCACCCGACGAAAAAACAGAGTTGCGTTCGGGAATCCATACTGTGTGCATATCACTAGATACCAATTGTTCTGAAACACCCTGGCTATATTCGGAAACATCACTCTGGTATGTTTTTGTGACTTCATTGACTGATGTAGTATGAAGTTAATCTGTGACGAAATGAGCAGAGAATTCTTTATTATGATTGATTAATTAAATGCTTCTTTATTCTTCGAGTTTTGGAGTAGAGTTTTGGAACGCAGTCTAGAGAACACTGTGGCCCCCCCACTCTTCAAATAAAAGCAAGCGTTTGGTCCAAGTATAGATCGTGGTGTGTGTATTTATGGTTTTATCGATGAACTGTTTATATATATATATATATATATATATTTATATGTGAATTAATATTTTACCGGAATCATTTTATTTAAGAAGTATATCTGAGCATTATGGTTATGGAAATACCGTAAGTATATTTCAGAATAAGCAAGATGCATAATTGCAATAGATCCAAATAGAATATCGCATATTTATATATTTTTATTGGAAAAATTTCCCTTTTTACTTTTAATTTAATAGAAGTTGGTTCGTTAATATTGAATTCTATAAGTTTTTAGTGAATGCAACAGATGGAATAAGGTTATTTCATTTTCCACTTTTTTGTTTTTAGAGAAGCTACTTCTTTTTTTTGGAAACAAGGTAGAATAAAGACATTCAACAGTTGGCCTTTTAAAATATCGAACAAGTGTAATTTAGAATGCATGGCTGCTGCTGGATTTTATGCCATTGGAAATAACGATGAACCAGACTTGGTAGAATGTTTTATCTGTGGCAAACAATTAGATGGTTGGGAACCAGATGATGATCCATGGCAAGTCATTCTATATGAATTTATTTGTATTGTTGCATATATAAGACAAAAGTTGTATAAAATTCTTTTCTCACTTATAGGGATGAGCACGTAAAACATCAAACAAATTGTTTATTTGTCAAATTAAATAAGCAGGATGAAAAAACATGGACAGTAGAAGAATTGTATGAATTGTATAAAAAATTCAAAATAAAAGAATATGTGAGTATAATTTAGAATTATATAATTTAGAATATATTTATTTTAATATAATTTATTTTATCATCACATGTTATAATTCAACTGATTGTTTAGTATATTTTATAGATGTAAAATGGTAGTATTATACCAATATAAGACAAGTATACTTTACAGATGTACGAATTAAATAAGAATATTAACATGATAAAGGATGAAGCAGCACAATTAAAAAATGAGTTATCCTCTTTGTATAAAACATCACGAAAGAATAAAAAGAGCATTGGCTAATGTGAAATAAAAATAAAACATTATGTTAACTTCATGATACAAGTTCAGGCATCATCTCTCAGGGATATCCTGAGAAAATGTCTTGAGAATGTCCCAATGTCCTAAAGACATCCACAGAACATCCATGGGATATCATGTACTACTACTATACTACTATTTACGAAGGAAACTATTGATTCTCACCAAACTTCAACATATAACTTTAAGACTTATGATGTTAGTTTTTTTTTTTCTTTATATAACAGGGATTTTGGAATATTTGTAAATGTTTAAGTTATATGCTATATCAATTTTGTAATACGAATATATATATTATATAATAAAAGATGTAATTATTGTAGATTCATATTTTTCAATAAAAAGTACAATATGGTATCACATCGCTCTATTCACAATGATACCTATGGCAAAATTAAGATATTTTTCTTGCGTGATTGAGCATGATTATTATTTATTATTTAGTATTTAGTATTTAACGCATCTGTCTTATATGTTGTAATTACAATTAATAGAAATTATATCTTGCGATTGTTTTATTATCGCGGTTACTATAATTTATCTTGATCGCTGAATCATTCGAATCTTTCTGCATTGAAGTTCTAATAGAGATTCGCTATTTAAAAACGTATCAATTACATTTCTGATATGAAATGGAAAAATGATATATATCCACAATTAGAACTTAGTGTTTTAAAAATCAAAATTTTTTTTCTTTTACCTAAAAGGATGTGACTACTTTATAATGTACACAATATCATAATGTATTGCATACAAATCAATATGTAGAAAGTGTGACAACCAGACCCCCGGTCTCCCTTACTTTAAAGTGAAAAGCTTTAAAAGTGACATTTGATTCGATGAGGTCGATCTATCTGATTTCACTGTCAATTTAAGTCAATAGCGTAATAAAGGTTGTTTTATATCGATAAACTTAGAATCTATCCTACCCATAAGTAAGAAATATAAAATCAATTTTTTGAAACATTGATTTTATGTGGATTTTATAAAAACATTTTGATGTAATATTTTATAAATGTCCTTAAACTGTGACTTGATAATATAATATTGCTAAATATTAAAATCACAGTGTAGAAATAATATTTTTAATATTTAATATTGTCAAGTATTTCATTGATACAATGACATTGTATACAACATCAAGAATTATATATTTGAAAGTGTTACGTATTATAAAATATTATAATAACATTGTATTAATAATTTCTTGCATATCGGGCAGAATATACTATTTAACGCGTGCGTCTACTTGCATGGGTGCATGTGTAACTTAATCTGAGCAATATCCAGAATCTACGATGAATCTGGACGTGTTAAGTTTTAGAGATACTTTCAAAGTACTTTATTCACGCAAATCACCTTGCCTCTCACGTCGGGGTGATTGATTTATACGAATCTCCTTGCCTCTCACAGTAAGTGTGCACATGTTTCTTTTTTATGTAATTACTAATATTACTGTCAATCACGCGCAATAATAGCTTAGTATTTAATAAAAGGCTGCATCAAATGTCACGCTAAATAATAAAGCATTGATTGAAAATTATGTATTTATATTGGAACACTAAGATATCTTACCTTAAGGCTTCGGAGTAATCGCTGTGACTGTCCTTGTTTGTTAATTACGTTAAAGAGAAACGAGAAAACGCATATAAAAAATTATTCGCGTTATACTTTCAAGTAAAACGACGTATGACCACAAAATGTGTCACATTTGTGATCGATTCAGCAAACTTGAACTAAAACTGAACGAACACTTTTTCTTTTTACTCGAACAATCAATAAGTAGCCGTGAAATTAACATTGACAAAATCATAAGAAAAAAGATTGGAAAAGAAGGTTTCGTGTCAAATTAATTTTGCGATTATTTATTGATTGTTTCAATAAAAGAAATGTATTCGTCCAATTTTCAAACAAGTGTGCTGAATCGATCGCAAATGTCATTTTGTGGATATATCTTTTTATTTAAATGTATAACGCGATAAATCTTAATGTGCATTTCCTGGCATTTGATCGCGTCATTACAAATAAGGACAGCCCTAGCGAGACTACTACGGAATCTTAACTTATTCAAAGCTGCTTCATGTATGATTATTGACCTCAAATTAATATTGCTTTTAAAGCTCCTCATTTTAGTAAAGTATATATATACATAAATGAAAATATATATACAAAATGAAATAGGAATCATCTTACTCGATAGAAGTTAGAAATTGTGATGTCAGCGTCTTTTTATATTTGGTGGTCGCGACTGGTCAAACGATTGATTATTGGGAGCTATTATTGGGAGCTATGTCCGTTGCAAATTTTTATAAATTAAAATTAAAATAGATATTTCTTCGTGCGCAAAATTTAATACTTTAGCTGTCTTCCAATTTATTACCAATGCTGATAATATTAGGTGATAAATTAACTCGATGCCGTTTTTCATAAAATTCAAAATTTATTTACAAAACGTCAAATACAAGTTTAATGTTCGAAATCATTTGCATTATTTTCTATGACTTTACTCCATCTATCGGGTAGTTGATGAATGCCTTCCCGGAAAAAACTTGGCGGTTCTGACTCGATAAAGTCATCAATACTTTTTCGGACCTCGTCAACTGTTTTAAAATGCCAGATTCGCCAGATGATGTCGAAGTAACCGAAATAGATGGTAATCTGATGGGGGCTAGATCTGATGAATAAGCCGCGTGAGGGAGAATTTCCCAAACCAATTTATACAGATGAGAGATCCTTCGTACATTTTACGATATGTGGTTGATCGTGCAATAGAATCCTGCTGCATATCCGGTTCTATTGCTGGTAAAAGGTCTTTTTACAAGTTTTATGTGTCACAACACCACCTTCACCTAAAGCGGAACAAATCATTTTGATAGCCTGAACAGCATTTTTATTCAACTGAAACGCCAAAAGAATGCAGTGCCTCAGATGCTCTTCCTTTTCGGACGACATCGTGATAACTATTTTCGTGATACTATTTTTTGAGGTTATGTTCGCAAGGCCGTCAACTATTATAGTATTTCTTACAGCTTAAGGTATTTTGGTATTTTCAAATCATCATAAGACGAGAAAAAAATTTTAATTTGACTCAAAGTTATAAGATGTTAAATGTAAAGGCATCGAATTAATTTGTACACCTAATATATACATAACACGAATTATAGATTTTCTGAATGTTGGCAGTGAATTTGGGAACACAGCCTTTATAAAGTAAGTGGAAATATATGAAGAGTATTTCAAAATTTTAACACAATAAAAACGTTCTAATTCATTTTCCAAACTTTCTTTTCTAGATTTCTAGATTGGCTCTAAAGTTTCTAGTTTTTCCTTATATTTTTCATATACTCTTTTAATTTTTGCCAAATTGTTTCTCCAATTTTAAGATCCATATTAAATATACAAACTTGTGTATCGACAAGTTTACGTATCTTAAGATACGTAATTTTTTTATATTGTGACTCGATAATTCTTCGACTGAAAAAGAAAAGTTGGGAGGAAAATTAGAGTTATTTCCTATATATTTCCTATAATACGCGAACTATACGTTTTTATCTTGAAACATTACAAAATGTTTTTTTGCAAAATGAAAAAATTCGATAACTCGGTTTCTTGTTTGTTACTAATAATGTTTTATTATCTTTTGATGCGTGCTGTCGCTAACTCTCTAAGAGGTCTAATAGTTAGTAAAAAATAGATGGTGCATGTCCTATAGCATTTCGTTAAAATACATTTGCGCAATCCGCATTATCGTTCAGCAACTCTTACCTGCTTACGTTCTTCACGTTCCCCACCTTGGATAAACGCGAGGAACACATGCAGATATAAGGCGTACTTATCGAGGGTGTCGATTCAGTCGTTCGTGACACGTGTGTGCGATTTGATTGAGAAGAAGGAAGAAGTCCATCGGATCCATCGATTCGTCACCGCAGTGACTTTATTCGATGATCATCAAAACCGCAACTTGAAATATTCTGAGGTGCTGCTAAAGACAAGCCGTCGGACGACGAATACTTCATTATTCGTTCTCGGTCCTCGGTTTTAGCGAAAAGAAAATCAAAGAAAAATTGTTTGTGTTGCGTTTTTTAGTAAATTTCCAAGGATGATCTCTGCATGGAAAGCATGTTGTAAGTATCGATATACCTTGATTTTATATTCAAACTCATGCTTATTTCTCCTTCCTTCCTCATCTTTTGAATAAATGCATATATCTGATCGATTCAGTTGTTCATTATCGCGTGCAACGTGAATCGAGAGAATTTTGCTGATTAATGATTTTATCAATCGCAGCAATTTTTTTTTTGCAATACGTTGCGCGATTTATTTTACGATAACGAGTTATTGGCTGTTAAATACCATCGAACTGCAATGCCGTGAAAAAGAATGCTTATACATTGGAATAAGATTACGCACGACATAAAATTTTGATATCTAACAGACACAGAATTGATTGGCCGATGTTATACATCGGGAATTATTTTGCAATCTATCGAGTGGATAATTAAAGTGATCATAAATGATTAAAGCAATCAAGATAAACTAGATTTCATGATATAAAAAATTATTTTAATTAACACTGCGGTCCGTAGCCATCCGAAAACGCTTGACTAATGTGTTTGAACTTATCGAAGGCATAATACGCAATTAGTCGCGCTTATATGGTTTTTCTTTTTCTTATACAAATGTTGATATCTAAAATCATCATATCTAAAATCATCATTTGTTTATCATATGTTTCGATTTATCGATAAAACCAATGCTGTCAGATCGCGACGGCATAGTGCTGTCGACGGACTGCATCGTCGAAATAAGTACGACGGACCGTAATGTCGAAACGAGTGCGACAGTATCATGCCGTCGACGGATCGCAAAGTGTTAAATTAGCACGAAGAGTAAGTAGAGATAAAATATAAAATTTTTGAAAAATTTTAAGGAGAAATTGTCTTTTCACTCGAGAAACAGAGATACTCTGTAACATAACTTATATTTGCTGATTTCTTAAATATAACATTGTCAACAGTGTAAAAAAAGACTTTCTAGAAATATTGAAAATAAACTTCTTTATATTCTATATATAATATGTATTATATTATATTATTCATGTGTTAAGATGTTAATTTCTCACATATACTTTATTTCATTCCGAAATTCATGTGTCGTATGTATTTTGATTAAACATTCATTCACATGACGAATTTTGAACTACTTTAAAGAATTATACGATATAAATCTTATTTTTTTATTATACCAATCAAAAGTTCATATATAATATATGCGCTAATCAATCACGACGATAGACGAAGTATGCGCGATATACATAATTTCAGATTTCATTGTTGATCTAATTTAATGCATAATATTGGAAACGACGATAGCACGATGGTAAAATTAACATATTTTTGAACAATCATAGTTATATTATTTTATACATGAGTTCGACGTTGCAACATTACTAGAAAATTTTAATTATGCTGCAGCCTCAAGCAAACTTTCACGTTCGTCTTATCGCGGTGGGAATGCCTTGACATTAATTGTAACTCGTTCGTTCGCGCACTTCCTGACATTCACGTAATCGGTATAGGTAGCAAGCACCAGTATGGACCGTCGTCAATAATTCATTTTTCTCTCTTAGTGAATCTCGAATGAACGATACTGTGTTGATGTCTGGTGAAATCGGTTAACTACGGTCATTTCGATCGATTGACGTGCTGATCAGAAGTGCACAAAGAATGTCATCAGAAAAAAATCAGAAAAGTTCAGAAAACAATTCTTTAATGAGATCAACTATTGTCCATGCAACCGAGTGTTTCCTTCCCTCACTTTCTCTCGTTTTTATAGTATCATCATATCAAACCTTGAATGAGTGTGACCGTGTAACAATTAGCTTCCGGAAATTGATGTTCGTGTCACGTCTTGGTCAAGGCCGTTTTTTCCTTTATGTTTTTACATAATAAACCGTAAGGTTCTCGCAAGTAGCGAACATTCACTTTTACATCTGTAAAACCTGGGCGTATTCATGAATTGTCATCACCGAGCATTACGGGATCTCGGCGATCAAAACCGTGATCACATGAATTTTTTTATAGGTATATATATATATTTTTTCCGGTATATATATCCGGAAAATATATATATATATCCGGGATATATATATATATACCGGAAATATATATATATCGGATAATATATATATATATATATATATATATATATATGTATGTATCGAGCATTAAAACTTCAACATAGATGCATTGTGTTTTTTAGAAATATATTCCACTGGTAAACATTTGTTTGGAGGTATTTAAAGTTTTTAAGGAGATATTTTAGTCCGGATACTGTTTTTAAGCTGATTTCTGAGAATTAAAATAAAAACTATTAAAACCACAGAACTGAAGTTTTGCATGGATATTTATTTGTATGTTTGAAGTAACACTCCAAATTTTATAAATCAATTTACTAATAATTCTATAAGCTAGAGATCGACATGCAAATCGTATCGCGAAATGGTCCAATCGGGTGTATTGATTACAGCCGCCCTTCAGTTACTTCAAATAAACGTGTAAACATTTTTATAATCTATATGACTGTAGCTCGAAACGCCGGAAACTTGAAAAGATGAAGTATGAATATTTTTAACGAAATCATAACTGCTGAAAGATTCGATTATTTTGCAAATTTCTTAATTTTAACAAGCGAAGAAAAAGAAATATTGTGAAATATATGTGTGTGTGTGTGTGTGTGTGTGTGTGTGTATTGAAGATTCAGGTAATAGGCACCAATTTATTTAAAATATGTGTGGAAGGACAAGTCAATCGATGCAGTAATTTTTAAGAAAATTATACGCCCGATTTGAAAAACATCGAAAAAAACGCGTTAAAAATTTTAAATACAGATATAACATAAAAATGAAAGTTTATATTTAATCGGCATAAGTATCAGTATCATACAAGAAACTTTTATTAAAACCCTCTATTTCAAAATGTTCGTTTGGTTCACTAATTTCCAATCGATAGTATGGGCTTTATATGGGCTCACTGTTTCATGCTCCTGATTGTGAGGTCTTTATTTTTTTAACAGACGTGTTTGAAAATGATATATCGTGCTTAATTATATTTCGATTTCCATGAAATTGTCTCTTTTTTGTCCATCAGTGCGTTTGATACTTGATTTTGAATTTTCTCTATTCATTACGATGCTTGCACAAACAACGGATACAATGGTCCAGACTAAACGCTTATAAGATTTGTCTTTCTCCAACGTCTTCTCGTTTTATAAACTAATCACATAATACACACCAACAAGCCAAACAAAAGAAAGATAGGCCTGAAAAGCTATTATCAGAGTAGACAGAGAAGACTTCTTGGGCGTAGCTACTATCAAGTACATCGACTTTTTGGCCCGTAACGCATTAAATGCCTGTGAAACTGTTATTTTTACGTATTTCGATAAATCTTTCTAGCAATTTATTTTTAAGAAACATTAAAAATGTTTAAAAGAAAAAATCAATTTTTCTGAAATTGTAGACTAGAATTAACCCCTTAACTCACTGAGACCTCATAATAAGTCTAATAATTGTTCGTACTTATGATACTTTCGGCGTAGTCTCCGCAGCCATATTGGATTCGTGACGTCATAGATGAGAAATGACACGTTGAGAAATATTACATGCCATTTGCAAATAAAAAGTTATTTGGACAAAACAACACTTGAGATCGGTTGAAGACACTTGTGAAAATAGACGAAAACTCTCCTCTTCCCTCCTGAGAGTCGATAAATAGCCGTAAAAGGTACATGAAATAGGGCCCTATTTATATAGGAAAATACAAGGTTTCACAGCCATTGAGAAGAGTGAAAAATATACTCCTACGTATAAAATTCCAAGTCCTAATCTTGGTTTTCGTCTATTTTTACGGGTTTAACAAGTATATCATGAGTCACAATAATAAAGAAACGGCATGCAACACAAAATTTCGTTGTCAACAAGCCACTCTTCACGCATATAAGTACGACATTTGCGTCCAGCAAGCGCAACAGAGCGCTTCGAAGCGTTTCTCCTTTTTTATCTTCTTTTATTCGGATCCGAAAAATAAATGAAGAAAAAGAAACGCTTCGAAACATTTGTGGCGCTTACTGAAGGTATTCTATTAGCCTTTTGTCATTTTTAACTATCGCTACTATCTTGAACGCGGAGCTGTTCTTGGCTGACTACTTCGGAGCCTTATGTCCTAATATGAAAACGAGTCGTTGTGACTTTCAGTACGAAAGAATAAATAATTTTTAAAAATATGTCAGTTTGGATATTATTATTCGGAAAGTTATGTTACGTTGCACAGTATGACAGTTTTGCGAATGATGACAATAAATTTTGTCCTCTGACCTCAATGTTCACGAAATAAATACGATCTCAGTGGGTTAATCCAACGTTATGATAAAATTGAAATTAATAACAATAACAACAGTAACCAATTGTTAAAGGACTTTATGGAAGCCAATGGAATTTAATGGATCTGTAACCTTTTATTTTGCATGAATTTCTTATCAAAAACGTTTATATTCATTATACGTCGTTAAAATTATAACGATTTAAAACTCATAAATAAATTAAAGAAGTCCTCGCGATTTCGATAAAAATTTTCATGGAATTATTTTTCACATCTTTTCTCACATTGTAAGGGGAAATTTCACGGTGTTGATCTCCCCGAAATGATAATGATTTCCTCGCGCTCGCACACTGCTGCGTATAGTTACAAGTTAGTAATACCAGCATATGTTTCTGAAGCGCTCGCACATCTGCTGCGTATAGTTACAAGTCAGTAATACCAGCATATGTTTCTGAAGCGATATCGTCAAACTTGGGAGGAAAATTTTAAACGTAAAGTTTCCTTTTACATTCGATGACGTTCAATCTTCCTTTCCCGGGAAGAATTTGATTGACCAATTTCGACGAATGTCGACGATTTCACGAGCGACGTATATTACGCCCCGACTTAATGACACGTGTAAATTTAATCTCATTGTAATGCAGTTGTCGTGCTGTGTATTTACAATTATTACGCGACGTTTATTTAGAAGCACTTGGACATAATCACCGACGTCATTGGGAATAATACCTGAGATCGCTCGCGCG